AAAAGGGAGGTTCCTTCCACACACGTAGCCCTCCAGTGGGGCCCTATGATAACTGGATTGGCACTGCACACAAGATTGGCACGGCGGGATGGCAAAGTTTCAAGTTTCTCTTTTTTGGTCCCGATGGTGATCTGTACGCTGTTCCACAAGATGGATCTTTTTTAAAAGGCTCACCTCCAAAGTATGCCGGGGATAATTGGGTCGCTCGTGCTAAGAAGATTGGTACAGGCGGATGGGCCAGTTTCAAGTTTTTGTTCTTCGACACAGAAGGTGATTTGTATGCTGTTCCACAACAGGGAACTTTTCTGAAAGGCTCTCCTCCTACGCATGCCCACGATAATTGGACAGCCCGTTCTAAGAAGATTGGCACCGGAGGATGGGCAAGTTTCAAGTTTCTTTTTTTTGGTCCCGATGCTCACCTCTATGCAGTTAAGAAAGACGGGTCCTTCTGGAAAAGCTACCCACCAACATATGCGAGTGACAACTGGAGCGCTCGTGCCACAAAAATTGGCACCGCAGGCTGGGCAAATTTTAAATTCCTATTTTTTGGTCCAGCTGGTTACTTGTATGCCACTCCACAAGATGGCACCTTTCTCAAAGCCACAGCTCCAACTTATGACAAAGACAACTGGACTGCTCGTTCAAAGAAAATTGGGACCGCTGGATGGGCAAATTTTGTATTTTTGTTTTGATGTTCTCAGTCGGATTCAACAATCGGTGATTGTGTTATCCAGCATAATCCATATATTTATAACTCAACAGTGAACATAATCTGACTAATACATAAATTGTGTTATGTGCATTTAAAATAAACATTGTTTTAATTCGATCGTATATCTCGTCTATTTCTATGTCTATTTGTAACACTTTTTGGTGAAAGAGCTTCAGCACACTTGCTTGCATACATTTGGAGCATTCCTGGCAATGGTTTTTGTCGCATGTACGAGAAGTCGAAGCGCGACAGGAAACTTTTTCGTATTTCAAGTATTTAACCCCGGCTGTCCTACTCTCCTCTCTCTCTGGCTATGCTAAATTGGTCGAGTACTTACTCGAACGTTATTGCAGATATTTCCAATGATAAGTTAAGTGTAATTGGTGACCTTCTCAATTTTTTTACTGCTCCTATGATAATACTTAGACATGTATGAAACGTAAAATCTACCAAAACTTCTTTGTGTTTTTGGAAGAAGATTGTCTAGATAGAGAGGATGCGTAGATATTTTACGCTTTTGCTGATTATTATGAATATTTTCGCTGAATATTTCCCGATAGCAAAGGCAATATTTGTCTCAGTTTTTTTGAACATGCAAGTGAATTGACTGATTTGTTCGCTTATTTCTTTGTAAGAAACGTCCACAAATTTCTAAATTTGTTATATTCACCTGCTGGTGAATATAACAGCATAATACGTCAAATTTCATTAATCAGAATGTCGGATTTGTTATATTGAACTTTGACTTGTCAACGGTTCTTTTAAGCTGACCTCTCGCACCAAAACTTTTCAAAACTTTCTTTGTTAATGGCAATTATCGTTGCACATAATGATAAAAGCTCAGCGCACACTACAAAAAGTTACACGCAAAATTGTCACTCGTAGCAAATTAGTTGCCACAATTTTTTCGTGTGCGAGGAAGAATTGCGGTATTTTTATCAGTCGTGACTAATTTACCTGATATCAAACATGTTTGATATTTTTTGCCACGAGTAACAAAATTTCCTAATGTGCGGTGAGCAAACGACAAATTCTTCTGAAACCAAGTAAAACACGCATGCGTGTCATGACACAAACAATCTGTATTGCCAGGAATGACAAGTTTGCATGTTTATTTCGCCGGTGTGTGCTGGGCTCAAGATAAAAAATAATAAGAAAGCAATCAGGCTCTCAAAAATAAAAAATGCGTACACGCTTATTCCCCTAGAATAGTATCTGCATGTACTTCGTGCTTACTGCGTACACCCACAGTACGTATGCAGTACTCCAGGCATGCTCAGAAGGGACTTCGTGCATATAATACCTACTAGAAATACCACCATGCAGTAACTGCAGTAACAAAATATTGCCAGAGCTAGCCAGACCTAACTTTCTAAGGCTATGTTTTTGAAATGACTTGTGTGAAGCCTATACTGAGCTTACGAGTGTTGTTTCAATTTTTTTCGGAAACAAACACAGTCGTAAAGGTGAAGTTGCGTTGCGTTGGCTAAATCTTCAAAACGTCAAAACAGCACAAATAAAATAAATAACCAAGCAGTTGACGTCAAATGTTGTTTTTCGATTATTGAATTTATGCAGTGATTGCGGTCGACTCTATAAAAGTTTTAAAATGATATTAGTTATGTTAAAACACCGAATTACGCGTTTAAGAACTCTGTTTTAAGTTAAAACGATGATGTAAAGCCTTAAATAGTCGGTTATGTCTTCGCAAAACCGATCAAAACGACATACTGTACCGAAGTCATAAAATATATTCGTACAGCAAACACGAAATAAACCTCGAAATAAACGAAGTAGTAACCTACCATTTCAAGGATTATAAACTACGAGCTGCTCCTTTTCACCGCTAACTCTCCCAGTTCTGATTATATTTTAAACTCTTCCCAGTGTTTGTACTGATTTTATTTGATTCCACATTTCATCTTGTGTTTTGGAAACATTTTTTTTAAAAAAAATAGTTTGCAAAAATTAATGACAGTTAAACTGCTGACGTTTTTCACTGAAACACAAACGTTTCGTCTTAGCCAATCAAGAAGTTGCTAACTAATAGTCTACACTCGTTCAATTTTTGAACGTCCATGGTCCATCACATTTTCGGTAACTTTGTATTCCGTTATGTTCTGTCACAATACCCGGGTGTAATTAATCTCCCAGCGGAATTAGTACCCTCGCAGCACGCTCTGCGCCCGCTCAGGGACAATATATTTGCCATCAAAAAGAGTTACTAGGACCGTGTTAATGACAGTTAAAACAGCGTGTACATTAAGTTCGGAACAATAATTTCACAACTTCACAAATAATATCACAAATTCAAAACTTCAAATTGCGTGTATGATTTGCAACTTAAACTTGACATTCATGCATTCATGCAGGAAGTAAATGATTCATTGCGCTCAAATTTCAAGGTTTTCATTGACTCTTGCAAGGTATCTACCGGGACTAGCGTTGTTGTGAACACTGGATTGCGAGCTATATTTTATTGAAGATTGACCTGAAGTTCAGTGAACCCTGCCGAGTGCTCTGTAAAGTCACCTATCTGCCCAATGCAAGAACATTGTGGCAAGACTTTGCACCGGCATCGCAAAAGCGTAGGTTCGATTCCTGCTGGAGGACCAATCGTTGACTCATTTTCCATCAACTTATCCTGCCTTGAATTTGAAGTGTGTATAATTTCACTCGAGATTAAGACCCTTTGAACCTTTGGAATTATACACACTTCAACAATTATACAAATACATTGGTACCTTCTGCTATACCTTGCAACCCAAAACTTAATCATGAAATTAATTATTCATTACATCTAAATAATTTATTATATTTAACTATAATTTTATCGCTTATCATATTTCTAATCCTCTCTTATAAATACAGCTGCATGCATGCTTTCGATGTATAACCTATAGCTATTTTACCATGACGATGACGAAAAATTAATAGAAGCATGCATGCATGGATGAAAAAAAAATTAATACTGTTAGTGATTTTTAGAGATAGCTTTTATTTTTGTGCTTGTAAACCATTTATTATTTTGATATTGTGGAATATATGTTCAGTTAGTATATATACAAGCTTTATTAGACAGAGGGGATATAGTTCAAACAGAGCTTTGGTATGTTGGATTGGATTTTAGATTTTGTGTTGTTTGAGCCTTTGAGGGTTCTTAAATTCTGGTGTAAGAAACGACCGTTACAACTTACAATTATTATAACCTGGACAGGAGAATTGTATACTAAAGAGCTTGAATGTTTTTCAGGAGTTTTACCTTTGCATGAAATAAAAACATTGCTATAAAACTCTCCAGTTAATAATAAGTTGGCGTCTTAGGGGCTGTTTACACGAGCCCTAAAAGAAGGGCTCGGCTGTTTGTCATCTGTCGTTTGCATGAGAAATATCTCCCCCTCTTGCTAGGGGTGCATGGCTCGCTCGCGAAAACATCATTGAATGGCTTCATGCATGCGAGTCGCTCATTCATTATGTGTCCGAAATCATATTTATTTAAATAAATTGTCGAATACCGACCAGTAGGCCACTGGTTCACAATTGTGCATTTCTTTATCGCTATATCAAAGAGAAAACTACTGAATAACTTTAAAAAGTTCAATTTTTCTTCCGTGCATATACGCATGAGAAATATCTTCCCTCTTGCTAGCTCTGCATGGCTCGCTCACTAAACGGCATTGAATGGCTTCTTGCACGTGGGACGCTCATTCAATATCTGTCCGAAATCATATTTAGTCAGATAAATTGTCGAACACCGACCAACAGACGATTGGAGTACAGTATATGCGGATAAATGCGTACAGTATATTTGTAATTTAAAACTGAATTTGAATAATTGTTTGATACAGAGACGACTGTTTTCACTTAGGCCTACTATGAGGGCAGCCGTCTTGCTGAACAGCGCTGGATGAATAATGAAATATAGGGTCTTTTCTTTGAAATGCGTTATTAAATGCGCGGTAAAAGCTTTACGATCCATTTTTAGGTAAAACTGGTCACTTGCTGCTTTTGAATTATAATAAAGGCCAATCATGCAAGCAGGTGCGTATATTTGTCCGCTTTCTTTTTAAACGCTTTTTGTTATATCACATGCAGTGATGTTGCAAGTTTAGGCGTTGTAGAATTCCGTGTAAAAATCTTCATGCAAGTCTTCAGTTTGAATAGTTTGATGTGTTTGATTAAATGTTATAAATGTGATCTCTCAATGTCTATGTTCACTGCACTTATACAGGAAACGTCACTAATTTTTAGCTTTGTCGTTGGTAATCGTGATTAATTTTTTATTCCTAGGGCTGTGTTTCCTTGCGGCACTAACCACAGTTTGTTTTCTGCCGAGTTCTGTCGGCGCGTATCACGGTGAGCTTTTTCTGCAGTACATATTTTTGAATAAGATTTGTACCTTATTAATTTATTTGAAAGCCTTTATAATTAGCTATTATGCAAAGACCAACCGACTAAGAACTCATCCATGCAGCCAGTCTCTTCTAATAACTTCGCATCAAATGTGGGACACTAAGAAGTAAGAACACCGCTGAAATTGTTGTTAATGATGTTTCAACCCGACAATCTAATCAGTGGTTCACAATTATGCATTTCTGTATTGCTATCAAAGAGAAAACTATTGAATAACTTTAAAAAGTTCAATCTATTTTTGAAACTTCGTTTACAGACGATTTGTTTTTGTCGCAGTACGAGCAGGCTTTAAATCTTTTGTGCAGGACATATTTTGCTATTTTGTATTGAGTATTAAAAATTAAGTATTACTAATTTCCACCGTCACGATTTTAAGTGCTTATAGTGCGTCACCAGTTATTATATCGACCATATACTGACTCTCTTACCGAAGGTCGAAATGACGAGAAGTGTCCTTGTCTATGTGTTTAGGCAGTTGCTAAACCACATTAATTTATAGCTACAAACTGTATTAACTTGCATCATTTTATAAAATCGATGCATTGAAATTTTAGTCCAAGATGTGTTCAAGGGAAAGAAGAATTAATTACACGGCCTAATTTTCAATTCAAAAAATATTAATAAACAACGCCATTGGTTATTCATTAAGCATATTTTTTCATCAAATCCATGCACCAAAATATTTGCAAAACATATTCCAGTTACTGCATATTGAAAGAAACCGCTTGTAAACTTGGACAAAATATCACGTTTGTTCACAAAGCACCTTGCAGTGTGGAGCTAAATTAATTATATTTTGACAGAAAGTTCAATGTCACTTAGATATGTTGCAAGCCATTCTTGACTGCATGACTGTCATACAATATATATGATGTCCAAAGATTCGTTTAACCGCTTAATCTCCCATCTTAGATTTCAAGTCAAAGAAGTGTGCCATTCGTTGTTCCAGAAAACGACTCCCTCCAGCATGTGGATGAGATGGCGAAACATATCCCAATTATTTCATATTAAAAGAAACCGCTTGTGAACTTGGACAAAATATCACATTCGTTCACAGAGGACCTTGCAGTAAGCAGCTAAATTGATTATATTTTGCCAGAATGTTCAATGTCACTTAGACATGTTGCATGCCATTCTTGACTGCATGACTGTCATAAAATATTAAATCCCAAGATTCGTTTGACCGCTTAATCTCCCTCCTTAGAAACTAAGCCAAAGACGTGTGCCGTTGCTTGTCCCAAAATACTGCTTCCTTCAGTATGTGGATTAGATGGCAATACATATCCCAATTACTGCATATTGGAAGAGACTGCTTGTCAATTCAAAGAGACTGTCGCGGTTGCAGGCAAAGCACCTTGCAGAAAGTGAAATGTATCACCAATAAAGCTTTTTACTATAGTTTTTACGGTTACAAAGGATTTGGTAAATTTAATTAACTTTTTTCAGTATGTAATTAACACCTAAGTGTCAAGTATACCAAAGAAATAGGAATTAAGATCATTTGCATCAAACATTGCTTTCTTCATATCTACTACCTACGGGTCGTACATTGGTTGAAAAAAAAATCCTTGCAGAACTTCCCACCGCAAAGTTTGCTGAATTGTAAATGTATTTACTCTAGAACCAAAGTGCCAAACTGCATGCACAAAAGAAAACAAACCTCATTGTGGTACAGATGGTAAAACATATGGTAACCCGTGTAAACTGAGAGCCGCCTTGTGTGAGAGTGATGGAGAAGTGAGACTGGATCATCATGGAAAGTGTGGTATGTATATTACCCCTCAAATTCTAATTTCTCCTATATATTCAGTTATCCCAAGGGGTATTCCAAACAATCCTCTGGACTGTATGATATCACGTAATATGATATCAAAGGATTCGTTTGATCGCTTAATCTCCCTCCTTAGAAACTAAGCCAAAGACATGTGCCGTTGCTTGTCCCAAAATTCTGCTTCCTTCAGTATGTGGATTAGATGGCAATACATATCCCAATTACTGCATATTGGAAAAGACTGCTTGTCAATTCAAACAGACTTACACGGTTGCAGGCAAAGGACCTTGCAGTAAGTCAAATTCAAAATAACTAAAGTTTTTTGTTAATTAATTTTTACGCTGCATTGAATTTGAGTAAAAGTATTGGTATATCTTAACTGTAGTAAGTGTACTTCCTAACAATGAAGAAGTTTCTTTGACTGATCATGATGATCCTATGTAGTTTCAGCCTTTCCTATTCCCATAAAATGAAAAATAGGCGTAGTTATTTAATTATTATCAAAAATTTGTGAAACATGGTAGCCCATTTAGGAGTACATTCAAATAATGCAATTGAGCCAGTCGTATCTTCTAATCCACCTCTTTTGCCGATTGAAATTGACTAAAAATTTGCCGTTAGATATCGGCCCCGTCTCCCGTAATAACTTTCTCCATGCAAATATTTGTTGCGTCATTATGTGGTCATCGTCATTGATGAATGTTTAATTCAACATTGTAGAACCAAAGTGTTCATCGGGTTGCACCAAGGAATACAATTCTCAATGTGGTACAGATGGCAAGACATACTCAAACCCGTGTACCTTTAAACAAGCTGAATGTGAAAGTGACGGGAGGATTCGATTGGCGCATCATGGGGAATGCAAAGTGTAAGTCACTCCCATAATTTAGATATCAATCTAAACTATCGGTCTGTGATTAGTCGAGCAACCTTTGACATATCGCGCTAATCACGTATAAGTGGAATTTTCAAAATTGGAGCGAGCTGAGTTGTTGTTTTTTTGTTAGTGAGAAACAGATGAAGAAATCGGTGATTTAGAAAAAAAGAGATTGCTGTATCTAAAACAACGAAATGAACAAAAAAAGGCTTGAAATTATTCTGTGGTAAAAAAGCTTTACAACGGGTGGCCATTTTTATTTCGCATAAAATAGTGTGTTGTTCAAATCATGGTAAATTGTCGAGAAATTTGTTCAGTCTATTTCAGCAAACATCAGTGTAACTTAGGCTTATTGTTATCGCCCAACAAATTTCAAATACAATGTAACTTGGCATTGTAACCCAGTCAATATATGCCAATACCACTTATGCAGCCATGTACTTTCGCTTTCAGTTTCGGTACAATAAAATATTGATCACCTTTATCTTATTCACTATTACATATAGGGCTATGAAGGTATAAAGAACGAAGGGATGCTGATGAGTTTTTTTAATGTCTAGTTTTGCACAGTGTGTCTTATTTTAATTATCATTGTTCAGAGATTTTTCATGATACTTTATGAAGCCTTTTACTGTGTTAGCTGTTCAACTGTAGCCGGTATTAAAAACAGTATTATGAATGTCGTAATTTTTGCAAATATTTATTCCAGTCTTTAGCATTGGGCGGTTCATCGTTTAAGTTTTTCACAGGGTATTCAAACAATTACAAATTGAGTCAATTATAAGTCAAAGCCAATCAGAATGTCTAAATTTTTACTACTTCATGTAAAATGGTACATAACGTACCTTTTTACTGGAAGTAGTCAAAATCTACGCATTTTGATAGGGTTACTGAAAATGTGAAGAAACTATCTGATTGGTCTAAAACGAATTTCCCCTTGATGCTTTGGGCCTGTTTATATGGGGCGAGCTATCCCGGCTTGCGTAGTGAAAGCTACATATATCGAATAGATATATATATGACGTAAAGTAGATTTGTCATTAGCCGAAATGCTATGGGGATATCTGATGAATATCTAATATGTGTGATAAATAGATTGTCTGGTGTAATCGCAAGCAGTGGCCCGATTTATACTAAAAACGAATCTTTTGTCTGGACGAACTTAGGCAAGCAAAAGATAGTTATTCTTCTAGCTCGTCTGAGTGTAAACGCAGGCAAACAGACGAATCATCATTCTGTCATCACGAATTATCGGCATAATTCGTCTATTTAGACGAATATCAATGGTAGTTCGTCTTGACACATCATTCGTCGGTTAGTATAAATACGGGGTGGGGTGATAACGAAAAATTAATCATAAGACGACTCTTATGCACCCTTTTTACCTACTAAACACGCGCTGTTTATCTGTTTCATCTTTAACACTTGATAAAAAGTATTCACTTATCTTAATTACTGCAATCGTTGGCATGTGAGAAATCTCGTCTGTACTCAATTTCAAGGCATAGGCTTTGAATTTTTGCTACTTTAATGTACTTTCTGACACTGATAATATAATTATTCCCGAATTATTTGTATATTTTAAATATTACTCAAAACGGCACGACGGCCCACGACCGGCTGAGGTGTCACCTGATAAGGAATTTTGCCAAAAATTCAAAAAATTTTTTTTTGAGCTTCTTTGAAAGTCTCTTTGGAGTGTCTTCATTTCAAGCAAGCATTTTTAAGCAAGCAAATTTCAAGCAAGACACCTACCAAGAATAACATGAATCTTTGGTTCCAGGTGTCACATCTTGTACTCAGCCTAATGTGTCGATTGATTCCGTATTTTCTGCTAAGTTCATTGTTAAAGGCATCGGTTGCACACCAAGTTTCAAAGAAACTCTTGCCTTACCCTTTATAACAAACCGATAATGCTCCCTTTGTAGTATGGTTTATAGCACGATAGATTCCCTTGTTGGACTTTTGAGCACAAGCAGCTCTGTCCAGACTCACTGAGTCGACGTAAAGATAAAATAAATCAGGATTAAAACCAGAACCAGACAAAGAACCACCGAGACAACCTTGTCTATTCAAATTCAACATGGCGCCATTTTCTCGAGACCGAAACTGAGCTTTCAGGTGAAGACAGCTGTCTTCAGAAACTTCCTGAAAGGATAAGTTTCCCCAACTGCCGTTCACAGTATTATACCTGTGACATAAATACACTTCGGGACTACACTGTAACTGTAAGCATTCCAAAAAAAACAAGCAACAGATGCGAAAAAGGGAAACGATGCAAAACTACAATGTAAATAAAATCCCGTTAACATCACACCCAATATAGTGTGCCCCCAAAAGTGCCCTTAACAAAAAAAGAGTTGCTAAAGCTGCACGGTGATTTCCACTATATTACCTTTGCTTCACCATGCACGCGGCAAAAGTTAATACACAACTTGCCCTTTGTTAATTTGTCATGTGAAACAGTCCCCAAATTTTAAGAATAGTAAATACTACTCTAGTGACCTTTATTGAACGGTCACCTCTATTATCAGCGGATGCGGTCAGCCGGTCACCTTTTCCACGGTCCCAAATTCATATTTTCATTGTTTTGAAACTTTATTGATCGGTCGAAAATATATACATGGCCAAAAATGCAGGCCGGTAAGCGGTGAATTGTGTGGTCTTTGAGAACCAGCCGGACATGGTCATTTCGCATTTGCCAATGCCTGATTTTCCCTCAATTTTTCGGTTGTTAAAAGATCCATAAAATTGATTATATTTTTCTCTACCTTAACCAAGCATACCTAGATTGGATTTAAAATAATTATATTAGACAACCACTCACAATTAATGTAATTGAATGGCTTGAATACTAATTGGGTATACATGGGGATATGGAGGTCCAAACATGCTGTTAAAAATTATTTGCAGGACGAACAGGATTTGCCATATCATATGATTTTGGAAAGAGGCAGTGTAGCAGCTTTCAGCTTGATTAAGCAAGAACAATAATAGAAACCTTTAGCAAAAAGCGGTTAATATGACGCGGTAACAAGTTCCGATTTGAAGCATGCACTTTGCGTAAATCACCTTTTTCACTCAGTTGGTTTTGTGCATTCGTCACACAGTCGCACTTAAAATTCGTGTCGTAAAGTACAAAACAAAGTAAGTTACTTGTTCAAGACTATTAAATTATTGCCTGTAAAGTATATCCTGCATTTTGTTTCTTCAAACTTTACAATGCGTCGTGACGTAAGCAAAATCGTCATCGTTTTACATAGAGCTTGCGCTGCGGCCGTAAAAGTAAAATAACACTGATTGACGAGTCGTGTTTCGTTAATTCATGATAAAACAAAACCTAAGATGTCCACAGATGAAAATAAGCCAGTTTCAGATCCATATGAAAAAAGTCGGTGACCTTTAATGATTAAGTTTTTTAAAGAAGAATCCGATATCGCGATAACGATCCAGTTTTTTCACCGGACGCCTTAAAAAGAAGAGAAAGTCGAACGAGGAATTAGACAGCAAGCCTAAGGGACGATATGGCATACAAACCAAAGCCGGTAGCTTTGCGTGTGCGACAAAAGGCCAGCGAAACGAGCAGATTTCCTCAAATTTCGGATCGCAAAGACGACAAACGTTTTCGAAATGTCCTTTATGCTCTAAAGGCCACAGTCTGGAGAAATGCCCCGAATTTAAAAGTAAAACCCTCGACGAGAGACGAGACTGCGTGCTTTGGATGTTTTGGATGTTTCAAAAAGGGACAGTTGTCATCCGTTTGTCGATCGAGAATGAAGTGCGAAGAATGTGGTAAACTGCATCCCACATCGTTGCATGGTATCAAACCGAAGAAACGTTCCACTAGCAAAGGAAAGGAACCTCCCGTCCAAGACAAGACAAATAACGACGACGATGCATCGCTATCAAACGAGTCTGCAAATTCAGCCAGTATCTGTGGTTCGTCGAACGTTGTCGAAGACAAGGATATTGTTACGGCCATGTTTGTTCCTGTGGCAGTCAGCCACAAAGATCGTCTGGACGTCGAAGTTAACGTCTACGCCTTACTCGACGACGGAAGTGATTCTACCTTTTTAAAGAACCCGGTGCTGAGAGAGCTTGGCGTGAATGGAACTGAAGTATCGTTAAAGCTCAACACCATGCATGGCGAAACCAGTGTTGACTGTTGCGGTGCAGAGAATCGATGGACTGGTGGTACAAAAGCTGGACAGAACTGAGCAACCAATACCTCTTCCAAAGGTTTATTCAAGGGAAGCTATTCCATCGAGAAAAGAACAGGTATCAACGCTCGCATGCAGTAGCAAACAGACGGTTTCCGTTTAAGTTATAAAGGACGAGATACCGCCTCTGCAAGCAAGTATGGAGATTGGTCTGCTTATTGGCTGTAATTGCCCAAAGGCTTTGAAACCGCAAAAGGTTATTCCCGGTGGTGAAGCCGATCCGTACGCAGTGAAAACACGTCTTGGATGGGGTATAATCGGTTCAACAAACACGAAATGGTCGGCCAGCGATGAGTATTCTAAATGCCACATGATCGCAACCCGTGAAGTCGAAAGCGCAAGGCCGGCGGATAAATTTGTTCTGGACACTCGACCCAAAGAAGTTATTAATCCAAATGACATTTATAGAATGTTTAGCTCGACTTCTCGGAAAGAGAAAGGGAACCAGCGCTATCAAGGGAAGATAGAAGGTTTCTAGAGATTGTAAAAAATGGAATATGTCTCAAGATTGAAAATACGAGATACCTCTTCCGTTTAAAGACCAGACTGCTAAACTTGAATCGATTAAGGCCTCTAAAGAAACGTCTCGGATGGCTGCTATAGCTATATTCATTTTAACGTTGATATGTGCTGATTTAATTGATATTTCGCGTTCGCTGCGCTCAAAATAACTGTTCAGATACAGTACTGTCCAGAAATAATCTAACACTGCGGTTCGGTTGCGGTTAGGTTGCGGTTCGGTCGCGGTTCGGTTGCGGTCGACCGATAGGAACCGCAGTCGACCGCAAGGGGAAAAATACCTTCGCAGTGGCAGTTCGCTCCCGAACGAAATGTTATGGACAGCTGCGAACCACAACACAATAACCAAATCGAAAACATCTTAAGAAATGTCTGTCAGACCGAGGTTTGACCTAGGTTAACCGCGGTTTTCTGCGCAGTACTATACCTCAATATGGGCAAAGTAACCGCGCAACTTCATCTTAGCTCGATCAAAATTTTTGAACGGTCTGTAATTCACAAAATTTCAAAAATCAACATAACGAAATCACGTTTCTCTCCCGCCTAGAACCCATAATCTCCGTCACCCTTGACCTTGATCAAGCACTGTAATTGCTGGGTTCTTTCCACAGAACATCTGTTTCAAAACTTTTTGGTAAAATATTTTTGCATTAGGTTTTTCTACAGGTCCACCACATCTAAAAAACTGGTCACAAGATTTTGGCGTGCTTGTATTCTCTCAGCAAACTGCGCAAGCGCAACTCTTGCTAACAACGAGTAAACTTTAATACCAATAATAAGCAGTATTACAATGAAGAAATATAGAAACAATGTCCATGTATAAAAAAAGACGAAACAAAATCAGTAGGAGCACTAAAAACATGGTTGGTGTGATATCCAATAGGATTTTACCGACCTAATAAGTGTAGATGTAAATGTAGATGTAGTCAACAAATTATAAAAGCTAGTTAAGTATATATGCTATCTCAAGTGGATTTAATTGTGATGGTGTTAATCTGAGTTACCAACAGGGTCAGCTCATCTTATAGTTTGCCCAGCTCAGCCGGAACTCCAAGTGCATGGCATCTTCGCGAGGTCTAACACCAATTACACCATCGTTTCCAACCAAGTTTATGCCACTGTTCAAACCCACTTTTATCAACTGAAAACACCCTATTAGTTTCTACCCCTTTATCTCTCTTGTTATATATCTCTAGTTATTTTGTACTTTAATTAAGTGACAGTATAAGTGATCATCACTTTCTCTCTTCTGAAGTTCGGTATACGTCGCCTGATCATCGTCCACGGGGTCGTAAATATTTGCATTACTAGTTTCTGGTACATTAGAAATATATGCCGGATTATTTTTATCCTCCTTTGTACTATTGCCCGAAGTGTTTTGTAATCTGGATCTACGTTTTTGATAAGCCAAACAAGCAATGATTACGAACGAAGCAATCAGGAGAATGATTAATACAATCATTCCGACAAGATAAGAATTAGAACCAGCGTCGTTTCCCTCTGACTTCGTGCATGAAGCTTGGACTAAAAAACGAAGTAATTTATCATTAAAAAGAACTCGCAGATACATGGCGACCGGGGTTCAAAGATCTGTGAGCTTTTTCCTTTTCTAGGCACCAGCCATGGAGGCGTCACCTCGCGAACTTTCTCTCTTCGAATGTTAACCAATTTTCAACACCAACAAAAATTTACATAAGAAAATTCACGATGTAGTAAATCGATTATTGTAATTTTTTATCGTGATAACAACAATATAACATTAGCTTACGAAAATGAAATTGAAATAACCAATCAGTCTCACACCAAATTTGATTGCCCAAATTCATCTTTAGTAGTTGGATGGAAAACTTTATAGGCTATGTTTGAATGTAGGCTACCGTTACTTAAAATCTATATAATGAAACTTGAAAATGAACAGAAACAAATTATATGGTTTCGTTAAAGGTTACTTGGGATTGCATATGAACATAGCCAATGTGGAGGTATATACCTGGATGACTTGTCGTTTGTGAAACAGGACTCCAGTCAGTCGAGTAATAATCTCCCTGCAGGAATGAGGAGAAGAGGTTTGTAAACAGCCTGAGAGTACAAATTTCAGAATTGTAACAACGAGTCAAGCATGTTTATTTTGTCAGGCAATTACATTTTAGCACGTATCTTTAACTAGCCAAGGGCATTTCTTTAATCCTATAGATCATGTACGCGCAATGTTTGCAAATTTTGAATTTGACAATTTTCCCAGTGTTAATTTGAAACCTTTTGACTTTATTATATAAAACAAATAGATGACTTTGAACCGTTGTCTATTCAGTTATAGATACACGATATGACATCATTTGTGATAAAAACATGAAGTGACACACACTCACTCGCCCCAGTGAGTCGTGGCTACTTTTTGGTTCTTATCACAAATGACGTCATATCATGTATCTATAACTGAATAGACGACGGTTAAATGTTATCTACTTTTTAAATACACCCGCCCCCAATTAAACTTTTTATCTCATGCTTTGTTTTTTCGTTTTCAGTCACTGGGAAATGAACTTTCAAAAAGCGTTCTAATTTCCTCTTTCTCACTAAGCTAATAGGAGTATCTCGACTAAGCTAATAGCTCGCATACCGTGACTACAAAAATGGAAATTTACCCCTTCCCCCATTTAGCTTTTGCCTAAGGTCCAGGATGCCGTAGACTAACGATGCAAATTCATTCGAAAATAATTTATTTCTCTATATAATTATACTGTTTATCCTGAAAATTCTCATCAAAACTTGCAGTAGGAAGTTTTGCCGAAATTTCATTGGGAAAAGTATGTTGAATATTTTATGTTTAACCTAATTATAATGAACTAGGGACACTTAATTTCTTTCCGATAGAGTCCTTAGAGCAATGTACATTTCACACGTCCTGTGTAATTCTACACCGGCCCACGAATTTCAGTGTCAGAAATAGAAATGTTAACTACCTTCTTAAAAATATGTCTCAGCGGGACAGTCTCACACGCTTTGAACAACACACAAATACCTTGTCATTGATGATAATCCTTTGAAAAATACTGTAACCAGTGCCAGGCTCCAGCGGACCATTAAGATATTCTTTGAAATGCGAAGTATCACTTATTGAATCACTTGTAATTCTGCCATCACCAAGTACAAACATGTTTTCCTTAATATTGTTGGATGAGAATACTGCGGCGATATACGGTTGTGGATTGGTTGAATTTTCAGCTTCGGCAAACATCATTTTATACAACTTTGCTAAACCTTGTGAATGCAAGGTGATCGATCCGCGATATGAACCTTTTACGTACAGTATTTGACCCCGGGTGTTTTTCTCCTCCCACTTCCCTCTCTCGCCGACCACGCTTAATTGATCGAATACTTACTCGAACGTTATTGTAGGAATTTCCAAAGAAAAGTTAAGTGTACTTGGTGTTCCTCCAATTGCTTTTTTCACTGCTCCTATGATAACACATTGACATGTTTGTTAATTAAAAACTGCCGAAGTTGCCTTATGTTTTTAGAACAAGATAGCCTAGATAGCAACGATGCGTCGATAGTTTGAACACGAATATTTAAGTTTTCGCGCCCTCTTTTCAGCATCGCCAGCATCGATAAGTGGGGTGGACATATTCATATATTCATGTTCACAGACCGTTAAAACAATCAATTTGAAAAGAAATGAATAATGTAAAACACGAATATATGAATAAGTCCCCCCACTTATCAAGCTGGCGACGCCAATGCCTGTTTTCTCTGATCTTTATGGAAACTCTTCGTGGAAACAGAAAACGACAGACAGGGCTCATATGAACATACAACTCCCCCAATGGAATCAAATAAGCTATTTGTTCTACTTACGTCCATTCGTTAAAATTCCTTCCTTATTGCTGTAGTTACTCCTTCCAGCTTTATTACTGGCCAGAATGGCAAAATAATTATTTGTTACTGGATTCAGATTCCGTACAAGCCACTCTTTTTCACCTGTGATGAATGTCTGAAAGCAACATCCATTCTTTGAATGTGAAACGCACGCAGTATAACTGGTAATGACGCCATTTTGTTTACTTTTCTCCGGAGGATCCCAGACAAGGAGCAACGAAGATGCACTTCTTGATATTGCTTTCATGTTCATTGGAGGACCACTTGGGGCTAAATGTTCAAAACAGCCTATTTGCAGTTTGATTTTATGCAACTGCACTAAATCCTAGTAATTGGCATTCTTCAAGAATGGGGGAGAGCTTGTTTATTCGTATATTCATTTCTGCCCGACTGATTTCTTTTGTAAATGCAAGGCTGGCGGTTTGGGAATGGGTTCAAAGAGAAAATATTTCGTGCGCGTAACATGACAAGGATTTGTACCCTAATTACTTTAACGAAAACAATTTTGCGAAACATTATAAAACGTTCACATAATCGTTGACTTAATTTTAATCTAATGTCATATACTCTATTTAACATCCATGAAGTACATAAAGGTTATATATAATCTAATACAAATACCTTCTTCCGATGTTGAGAACAGAATTATTGCCTTTCTACCGTAGCCATAGTGATTACCAGCAGCAACCGATATTTCATAAGTAGTGAACGGAATAAGATTGTGTATTTCATATATATGTACAGATTTATTTCTGGTGATGTTTAGAATAGGCAAGTTATCTCTCGTGAGAATAATGAAAAATCGAGAAACACGTCGCCTCCATGAACCTCTATCTTTAGGATTTTCAGGATCTAGCCAAGATACTTCGACACTTCGGGACGTGATGTTACTGGCTGTTAAACTTCCAGGTTTGTATGGCAGCACAGCTTCAAAGAAAAGTACGAGATAAACATTCAAATAAGTGAAAAACAAAAAATTTAAGTAGTCCATTTCTGTCCATGGGCAATTTTCTGGCAGTAGGAATTCATAAAGTGCATTAGGAATGATTAGGAATAACTCACCGTATCCACTAGTCTCGACTCTCATGCATGGCTGACCAACATATGCTAGGGGAATAAATCGTAAAGCTCTTGTACCAAAAGAAGGTCCAAGGTGGATAAAATGCCTTGCAGCCTTAACTGCATGATGGTAAGCATTTTTATTTCCTTGAAATATCTACAGAAAAAGAAAAAGGAAAGAAAAGGGAAGAAAAAGGAAACAGGATTGCCTCGACAGACTATATAACATTAACTTATTGTTAGTTACAGTATTATTACTTACCCTGGACCAATACGCTTTCCAGCTGACCAAATCCGAAGTATGATTTAAGTTATACGTGGCGACCCATTTTGGACAAGTGCTGTCACCATAAGTTATCACATGATATAACCTATCTAGCGTATCCAGGTCCACCTGAAGATAATGCTTTGCATCTGAAACAGGAGCACACCAGGAGCTTCCGCTAGATATCCTTGCATCGAAAGGATTGTGACCTTTCACAGAAGCAGAGGGCAGAAAATGATGAATCAGGAAATCTTTTTTTATCTGTAGCTAACAATGGAGTGAAGTTGTCCTGGGAGACATAATCTGAAACGGGAAAATAATCTTAGTATTCCATATTTTAATTAACAATTGTATCAGTTGGAGCATTTTGTAGAGCCTTTGGCCCGTTTCAGACGCTGAACATATATTTCGTGGGCCGAAAAAACTGATGAAAATGAACTTAAACAAAGACTTCAGCTTATTAATTAACATTAGGTTTGGCACATGAAAACTTCGACGTCTGAAACAGACCTCTGTGTAATTTTATATTATTCATGACATGCATCTGTTATTGTCCATACATATTTTTTTATTTTTTTTCTAACTCTGTGTAAATTTAAAGTATTCCTCTCACGCGCATAAAAACCACATTCGATGTATGATAGCTCGGAACAGCTCGGCTGATTGGAAGCAACAATCAAACACTGGGATAAATATTTTTCACGATCACTACAGGTAAATGTTCCAGAAAAAATAGCATTTTTGGAATCCGCTGGGACAGATACATTAAAAAAGGAATTTAGATCATCGTAACCAAGACTACGGCATAGGATACGCGCATCTGGGTACTTCTTTAAACTCTTCCAGCAAACATCCATTGTTCCACTGTCAGTGTTAATTTGGACAACACCTTTGAAAGGTAGATATGAATGTGATAAGGACACATCATGAACTACAAGGAAAAACAAAATAGAAAATTGGTGAGTATTAAGCCACGTACGGACGGGCAACTTTTCCTTGACAAGGAGCCTTGTTCAAAAGCTAGTCATGCCTGCAAGTGAACTGGTCAAGAAAACTTGTCAAAGGAAAACATGCCCGTCTGTACGGGGATTTATATGGACAATCGCACCTAAAAATACAGATCTTTACTTTAAAACACAGAACAGCTAATGTTAGGAAACGTAAAATACAAAAGTATATATTAAACGACATATATGCAAACCGAAGAGAAATAAATCCTTAAAAATAATCCGATGCTAGAAAAACTTAACACGAATTATAGGACTAGCATGCAGTGCTCCAGCAAAGCCAAAGCAGCAAGGGAAAAAAATAGGCTCACTTAAACTCCAATCAAAGCCGAAACAGATTAAAGTTTGAAAGATGTAGTTGAATTAACAGATACGACAGTTAGAAAATAGAGTACCCAGATTTAGTAGATTCAAAGAAACATATTCTTAGTCTCTTTAATTGTCTTGTTCTTTTAATATGTGGAAAACTACTTGTCTTTTATAATAATTATGTAAAAATAAGAATTTAAGACACATATATTACAGCCTTTCATTTTTGGTTCCGCGGGTCATCGACAAAGGAAAAACTTACTACAAGGTCCTTTGAAGGTTTTCACAGTATCTATACAATGATATTCAAAATAAAGATACGTTTTCAAACCAGGACATCCGCTACTGGAAAAATGCTTTATCCACACGTATACTGCACTCATGAAGACCATCACATTGCTTCTTAACGAGACATGTCACATCCAGTTCACAACTGTAATCAATTAAACTCAAACCACAAGTCTTTGTTGCAAGTAATCCACGAAAAGAGGCAATCTTGACCACCATGTACTGATTCCTAGGACAGTTTGCATTATTCACCATACCACCATAACATGTCACGGAACCTTCATTAAGATATAGAATTGTTTCAAGGGCTGTAGATAGACCGCTTCATTTTGGCAAACGACGAGTATATGAATATTAAATGGTGTTTTATATTGAAAACGTCGTCAGATAACATTAAAATCAGGATATCATAGACGGCGGAAGATCGTTAAGTATGGAAGGCAAATATTCATAAATTTATATTCATGTTACCAGACCATAAAAACAATATATTTCAAAATTAACTAATACCCCCCCCCCTTTCACTTAACGATGCTCCTCCGTCTGTATAGATACCCTATACATTTTACAGGAAAACAAAGATTTTCCTATCAAAACATTGATCAGTTGAGGTAATATTGCACTAGGTTTGCAAAAGTCGAAAAGTCTTCTTCTTGAAACTAGTGATTTTTAAACCCAAAACGCCCAGACCGAAAATTTGTCACATCCACATGGCTACATCTCGGGACACTAAGATGGCTGAAGTACCATCTGAGGTATCACGTGATGAGGAATTCAAATAATGGTCATATGTATTCACGCCTAACTCTTCAACATTTGTTGATGATTCTTTTTTTGAGCTTGTTTAAAAGTTTCTTTGAAGTTTCTTCATTTCAAGCAAGCATTTTTAACAAAGCAAACTTCTTCAAGCAAGATACCTACCAAGAATAAATCTTTGGTTCCAGGTGTCACATCTTGTACTCAGCCCAATGTGTGGATTGATTCTGTATTTTCTGCTAAATTCATTATTAAAGGCATTGATTGCACACCAGGTTTCAAAGGAGCTCTTACCATGCCCTTTATAATAAACAGATAATGATCCCTTTGTTTTCTGGTTTATAGCACGATATATTCCCTTGTTGGGATTTTGAGCACAAGCAGCTGTGTCCAGGCTTACTGAGTCGACGTAAAGATAAAGCAAATCAAGATGTAAACCAGAACCAGACAAAGACCCACCCGCAAGACAGCCTTGTCTGTTCAAATTCAATATGGCGCCATTTTCTCGAAAACGAAACTGAGCTGTCAGGTGAAGACAGCTGTCGTCAGAAAGTTCCAGAAAGGATAAATTTCCCCAACTGCCGTTTGACTGTATTATACCTGTGTCATTAATACACCTCGGAATTCCACTGTAACCATCCCAAAATCTTACGAAGAAACAAGTCACGCCTACGAAAGAGAAAAACAACGCAATACTACAATGTTCTTCCATGAAGCAATTAAACCTAGCTATATATATAAAATCACGTTCACACCATACCCAATACAGTGTGTCCCAAAAAAGTACTCTTAACAACAAAGAGTGATTTCAATACAGGGGACTATTTTGGGGACACACGGTGTAATTTATAGTATAGTATGGGAAATACAACGGCAACGGCTACCGCAACGTATTCATTAACAAAGGAATTGATTCTGAAAGGCAAGAGAAAAAGTAAATTAAAATATTTAAGCGTTGTAAATTGTCGTGGTTGCTAAAGCTGCACGGTGATTTCCACTATGTGATAGTCTTCCACTGTTAATACAGAACTCATCCCTTGTTGAGTGGTCATGTGACAAAGTCCCAAAATTTTAAGAGTAGGAAATACTATAAAAAAAGGAACTTATAGTTTTTCTTTAGACTGTATCACTATATGAATGCAAATATCTCATGATGCCATGTTCTCGTATTTCTTGTTGACTCCATGATTTAGGTCATCGTTACTTCCTGACAAATTTGTATAAAAGATTGTAGCATGCTTGTAAATAATTAGGTTTGACAATGACTTTGAAATAGAGTCAAAATATCACCTTGAATATTGTGTCTTGTTTTTTAACAGCTCATATCTTGAGTTTACAAGATATTTATTTTCGGAGTGTGTTTTCTCTTATATTTAGTAAATACTATTCTAGTGACCTTTATTGAACGCGGTCGCCTCTATTATAAGCGGACTTGGTCAACCGATCACCTTTTCCAGTGTCCCAAATTCATCTTTTCCTTGTTTTGAAAATTTATTACTCGGTCAAAGAGATATGCATGGTAAAACACGGCCAAACGTGGCCAGAAATGCAGGCCGGTATTTAGATCAGTGTCGCTCAATTCGCGAAAGACAATATGGTGATTGTTTTTATTTTATCAACCAACTGCACAATCTATGAGAATATACAATCGAGTTTATTGGTTACGAGTTTATTGGTTGAGAAATTAAAATAAACTCCCTCCTCAACAAATAACAACCGTTATTGGCGTCAATCGAAAGTTAATCGTGGAGGTCCATATTAATATATTCTGCTATGCCTGGCTAATTTATTTTGAAGAAACTTCGCTTTCAAGAGAAATCAGCCGGGCATAACAGAATATATGAATATCATTCCGCCCGTCTTCCACAATTAACGTTCGATTGACGCCAATGACAACCCTATGTCGTTCAAGCTAGAGCTACAAGATATAATTCATCAGGCGGCTAATTATCAATAAAAGCTGTTCTTCTAAAATGAAATCCCTAAACCTGAGTGTGCGAGAAATGATGGGTTATTATGGCAGCTCT